CATGTCCATTGCCGATGGACTGGACTCTTCAGAATCTGGTCTGCTGCCAATGTCAGCAGGTGTCCCAGTCTTTGTGTTCTTCGGCTGGCTCTCTGAGTCTTGCGGCTCAGCTGAAGAGTCAACCTTTTCCCTTTCGGGACCTTTTTCTTTGGGCACGGATCCTTGGGCCGAAGCACTTAGGCCTTTCGGCTTTTTTGTGCTTGGCTCTCTTTCTTTTTCTTTCTCCTCCTCATCCTTGTCGTCATCTGGGCGACTACTGGATGGCTTGAGGTAGTTGCACCTTCGGGCGTCCTTTTGGTTTCCCTGTATCCTTTCGGGGAAGCCGGCGTCTGAGACGTAAATCATCAGCTGATGATAAGTTGAGACGACCCCTTGGATCTCGTGAATTATGGGTCTCCCCAAAATCACGTTGTACACTGAAGGAGCGTCGATGACCAAAAACTCAATCATGACGTTCCGGGCTGCCTCATCGCAACCGATGGTGACAGGAAGTGTCACCTTCCCATCTGGATAAGTTGAAGCCCCATTGAACCCGGATACCGGATAGGGTACCGACGTAAGGTGCTTGGGCTTCAGCTTAATTTGATTGTAGGCCTTTCGGAACAGAATGTTTGCTCCGCTGCCACCGTCAACAAGGACCTTACTGACGTCGTGGTTGGCCACCGTGGCGATGATCACCAACGGATCCTCGTGAGGGAACGTAATCCCCCGGCAGTCGGCGGCTGTGAACGTCATGTTCGGCACCGGCGGCTGGGGAGATTGAATGTCAGCGTTGTTCACCTGGTGAGTCAAAGCTCTAAGGTGACGCTTGTGCTCCCTCCGAGAGTATATTCCTCCCGAGATAACATTGATCGGAGGGAATTTCCCCTCCGGTTTTTTACTGTTTTTCCGGGGGAAATCAAGGTCCTGCCGAGGGTCCTTTGCTGACCTCTCGGATTCTTTTTTCTCGCGGTGATCCGCGATGTATTTTTTCAAGTATCCCTTCCGGACCATGTCCTCTATCTGGTCCTTCAGTTGGATACACTCCTCAGTGTTGTGGCCCGAAGACTCGTGGAACTCACACCACTGATTTTTATTTTTTCGCTGATACCACTCTGGGAGTGGTCTCGGCTTTTGGTAACTCTGCTCCTCCTTCGTCACACTGTAAATTTTGGCGCGTGGAAGAGAGAGCGGAGTGTAGGACTCGTATCTGCCTGTGTATGAGGCAAATCTGTCCTTCTTTAGGTCGTTGGCCAAAGATGGCTCCGGAGCCTTTGATTTTCCCTTTGCCTTATGGCCTTGGCCTTCAGACAAGGGTATTTGCCTCTGTTTCCCTCCCCCGGATTGAGGTTGGGTTTTTGCTTTATTCCATTCTTCGGCTCGGATGAACTTATCCGAAGCACTAAGAGCTTCCTCCAAGGTCTGCGGGGTATGCATGACCATGAAGTCTAGGAACTTTCCTGGCTGAAGGCCATTCTGCATTGCAAAAACAGCTAACCCCTGGTCCAGCTGGGAGACGCTTGATGACTCGTTACTGAAACGGGTCAGGTAGTCTCGGAGGCTTTCGGTTTCCCCCTGTTGCAGACTCATGAGCTCTGCGGTAGTCTTCTCTCGGCGGTTTGCCGTGGAAAACTTGCTCCTGAACTTGGAGGACAGATCATCCCAACCTGTTATGGAGCCTTGCCTTACTCCCTTGGAGATCCACGCTTGCGCGACCCCCTTGAGAGTGGTTGGGAAATATTTGCACCAAGTCGCCTCGGATCTGGGGCAAAGATGCATATGAGTCTCATACGAGGCCACGTGGTCCTTCGGATCCGTGGTCCCGTCATATGTGATATGCGACGGTATTTTAACCGTGGGTACGCGCTCTTCCAGTATCCATTGCTCGAATGGTGAACTAGCGGGTAGCATAACGGCCTTGCCCTTGTTCCTGGCCGAAGGGACCGCGCTCCGCCCTCTTAGAGAGGTAGGAGTGGTTTTCGTCCCTGGCTGGGAAGTCTGGGCCTCGGCTGCAGGGAACGAGAGGCGACTACGCACGCTCGGTTCCTGGCCGCCGAGTCGGTCAAGGACGCTTCTGCGAACAGTCTCAGGTTCCCGGCGAGTAGATTCTGGCCGAGAAGCTGAGCTGCTGCTCTTGTGCGCTTCTGGTCTTGAGGATGAGGATCCTTTAAATACTTGAGGGTTCTTTTTCCTCTGTTTTTCATTTTTCCAAGAATCCTCCTCCCACTCTTCCAGTTCCCGGAAGGAAGGAAGCTTCCCACCGTCATGGTCTAACTTCCTCCGCTGATGCCGGGTATGCGGAGGAGTTCGATCACGAGGCGGTGGCATATTCTGTGCCCTCATTGCCTCCATGAGTACTGCCAGCGCTCTTGCCACCTCTTCCGAACTGGGCCCCGTCAAAGGGGTCCTCGGCCGAGTGTGGGAATGAGGCCGTGCAGCCGATGGTTGGCTTTGGGACACTGAATATGTCCTATGATCAGACTGACCCCTGCTAGACCGAGAGTGGTCCGGCCTATATTGAGAGTCATGCATTACAGGAGATAGGGAATCCTCCTTGTATGATCCTCCCCCCGAGCCGGCACCCTTGGGAGAGTTCCGGTCCGGCGAGGGCGATGGTGTAGGGGTTTTAGGCTTTTCGCCCGCTCCTTGACGGAGGCTTTTGCTCTTGCGGTTCTTAGCCATGGCTGCTAAGATAATTGCAAGATGATCTTGGTTAGGAATTTGGCTTAAAGATTTTTGAAAGTCTTCCCCACAGACGGCGCCAAATTGTTTCGGGTGAAAACAATGAGACCTTGCCGAAGGTCCGCTGAAATGGAGAAGACTGGATTCGGTCCAAGTTGTGTTGGGCCGAAGGTTTCCTGCACAGTAAACACACGTAAACTAGCCTCGGGGGTGTTTCCGAGGAAGGCCCCTCCGATGCTAAAGTCAGTACAATGTGTAAAAGGAAGACACTCTGCAAGAGAGTTTGTAGCTTGAGGCTTTTGTGGAATATTTCTGAATGCAAGAATGATCATATGAATTGGAATATCCATCTCGCTCTGTGAATATGTCAATATGATGGCTTTTATACCTCATCATACATGGAGAGGTTGGGCTTTAGCCCAATTGGCTTACTTTGTGGGCTGACCTTTGACTTTTGTGCAATTGGAGAGTTGAACCTTGACCTTGGGCTTTTAATTGGATCATTTAGTGCTTAGGCCCAATTTTGACTAAATTGGACCCAAACAAGTACAAATATAAAATTAGAGGGAATAATTTTTTTTAAACGAAAAAAAAAAAACAGAGGAAACATTAAAAAACAGGGGAAATACCAGAATTTACAAGTTCTTACAACATTTGGGATGGCGTTTTTGATGGTCTTCATATCATTAATTTGAAACCTTGCTGTTGTGACCTTCCTTGGCATATGTTCCACACCTTCAATTCCACTAATCACAGTCCCTTTATCTTTAATCCATAAACTCCTTCCTAAATATTGTAACACATAAATTAAGCTATACCACATAAACTTCAAACTTTTCCATAATCCCATTTTTCTAAAATTCCATTTCTTCACAAAAACATTGCCTTTCTTGTTGGTCATGACCTCTTCATGATGATGATCATGGCCGCGATGATGATCACTTCTTCCAATGGTCCATAGCAATGACATCAATGACATACCATCAGCTAATGCATGATGAACTCTTAATATCATGCACTTATGTTCATGCATGATGTGTAACTCCCATAATGGTTTATCCAAGCTCATGGGTGGTGAGATGGCCATATCAGCCAAATACGAGTTGATGACATCATTATCATTCTCACCATAGTTATCATGGTGGATGAAGATATGATCATCTAGGTTAACATGGGTTTTTTTCCCAGCGTTCTGCTGCATTATTGTTTGGATCCATCACTAAAAGGCTTGTGAACCGCGGGATTTTGCATATGATCGACTTGGATAATTCATCTTTAAGGGTGGCTACGTCGATGGGGTTCTTGAACCCTACCGCGCAATTGATCACTTGGTAATGCCTAGGGAGGGTGCTTAGTCGGGTGGTTGGTGACACCGGCTCCTCGCTATCACTTCCTCTTAGGAGATGGGGATCCATATATATCGATTTGTATTTGATAAGGTATGTTATGGGCTGTACTATATTATGTATGTGTTGGTGTGTCTTGCTTGTTAAGAGCTAGTAAGATACAAGCATGGCCGCATATATGAATAGATCAGAGAAATATAATACACATATACAAATATATATACCAACAAAGTGTTACCTCAATTGATAAGTCTTTTACTTCATATCCTAAAGGTTTAGGGTTCGAATCTTACCAAGTGAGGGTACTTAGGGGGTAGGGATTTCCTAAATTATTACTGATCGATGCATATTAAATTAAGACAAATTGTATCTAATATATCTACGTTATGCATATGAAATCAAAATCGGATCTAATTATAAATTATAAATACAAGTATATTTGAATTTTCACTTTCTCAAAGTTGGACTTGGAGAGTTGGAGACTTGGAGTCCACTCTTTGCCAGCCAAGCCCATTATCTAACATGCATTTCAGCCTTTAGTCTCCCTCTCCCATGAGATATCTGACGTACTTTATACGTAATTTTGTTGTGAACATTATTTACACATACACTTTTATACTCCATTCGTATTTGATACGTGATTTTATTTGATTTATCTTAATTTACAAATAAGTTTATTATATCACAAGTGAGGCTAGGTCTTCAGACTATAGTACTATACTACCTAACTACCTAAGGTCTTCATATATTTCACATTTGGATTTGCGCAAGTCATGTTGAGCTTAGAAATTAGAATTTCATAACTTAACATGTTTTTATTTAAGGCTTCTCACCTCATTTGATTACATATATGTTTGCCATCATAAATCCGACCCGTTCACTAACTCTAATTTTATAAGCGAATAAGTCACACACATCATGAATAAGCCAAACCCAATCATCACACATCGATTAATAGTATTGTAACATAATTCAAAGATTAAACACAGGATGCAACCTTGTATAAACTATATATTTCGTACTTGTATCTCTTATTAAACAAACAACTAATGCAGGATAATTAATTATTCTTCTACCATTTATTGAAATTATACAATAATCTTGTAAACCTCGTTAAGCTAGCGTAAGCCTTATTAGTAGTTCTATATGTGGCAAGACGACGACTAATTATTTGGTGACACGTGCATTAGCAGCTTCCTTCGCTTCAAGCAATGCGTTTTCAATGCAAGTGGCTAGAAATTCAGGGTCAGGTATCACTTCTTTGGCTACTTGGATTTGTAGGTCTGCCTTCCCTGCGTAGCTTACCATATGCAATGTGAATGCCTGCACCATTACAAAACCAATTCACTATATACATTAGTCTTTATAGTGAGGCCGATGTGGGGGTTGTCGTGGCGATGGTAGGTGGTGATGACTGGTGAGTGATTGTTGTTGACTTGTGAATGAGGTAAGATGAGAGTGGAGTGTACATACATAGGGATAAAAATGTACCGGTATATTAGGTCTGTGTATATTAGGTCGCTATTTGTAATTTGTGTTACTCTTGTAGCTCATTCGGAAAATAAAAAATTATATAAATAAATGCACTTACATGAGCTTGAGCAGAGGACGTAATTCTTATAAAAGTGATAGGGTTGGCAGCGAGTGAAATTGGTTCTAGAGGGCCAGCAATATTGGACATAAGGAAGCTTGTATGAGTAAACAGATTGTAAAATAGTTCACCTCCAATCTGCAATGTAACACAACCCAAAACTTATCATATATTGGTCGAATTCACTTGGCATACATTTTGTAAGGTCGTTCAAAATTATCATATATAGGTCTATTATTACACTTTATTTGATTTTTACTGACTTTTGATTTAACTTATTTATATGATTTTTTCTTTAAAAAAAAAAAAAAAAACTTATTTATATGATTCACTATCGTATGGATTATTTACATTGATACTATAATGAATTGACCACCCATAATTTGTTAGCACCTTCCTTTGGAAAATAGTAGGTCATATACGATATACTCATATTAATTAAGGCTAACTAGTTGATTGAGGAGGAAAAGTAGTCTATATCTCTTTCAAAAAAAAAAGAGGAGGAAAAGTCTATATCAATGTTTCAATGGTCCAATAATTGTAATAAATGTATGAAGTATTTCATCATATCTCCATAATTATATGTAGTGGTTATTGGTTAATTCCTTGATCTGATTATATCTAGATGAACTGCATGCGATTCAATAGAAAATTTTTATTTACCTTGGAGCCAAACAATGAAAATATGAGGTACCCTAATTCGAAACATAAACGAGCTTCCATTGATCGTTTCTTCTGATCCATCACCGCCTTAGCTCGAGCAATGTAAGCTAGAGCATTCAAGTCGCGTTTAAAGTAAGTAATGGGTAATAGGACCATTGCAAATATGTTACCCCAAGGCGCCCTTGAATTTTCTGATATCATATTGAAAACATTCTGAACACGTACAACATTAATAATAATTATCATTAAAGATCAAATAATAATACAGAGTACTGCATTTAGAGATAAAGGGAGTATATATTAAGTTGTTGACCTGAACTCCCGGTTGTTCTCTCAAGTTCATTGGGCATAGGCCGGTAAATTGGAAGCCATCTTGGAAAGCTAGTAATTAAGTAGAGAAAATATACTTAGTTTGTAATAGTATAAAATGAGTAATAAAATAAAAGTAATAATGCTCTTACATACCATTATTAGGATGTCGAATTTTGAGATATCTAGTTAGTCCACACCATACTATTCCATAGAAAACATCATTTATCGTCTGCATTTAGTAGTAATTAAGTTTGTGACGATTAATGCATTCAAAAGATCATAAAATATAGGTAAATATATAAATGCAATGTATGTCTATCTAACTTTTCACATCCATAACAATTTTCTGATTATTATCAATTTTTTTAAAAAAGTTTAAAAATACATACGAATTATATTGGATTTCAATAACATCCCACCGTCATCAAACTATATATTTAATTTGAAAATCTATACTATATTATTCCCTCTATGATCTTTTAAAGATTTTCTTGTCGTTTTGTTTGGACAGCTTTTATGTGATTATGAATAAATCACAACAAAATAAGAATATACATAACAAATAAGAAGGTATTAAATGTTATCTTTATGAAACTGAAATGTGATTGATTGGGAATTTGGGACCAAATGTAGTGAATTTTGTGAGTAAATGGTGAATATGGTAGGAGTTTGATCGGAGCCACGTCGTTTTAGTAGAATGGAACAAATCTAATTCAATAATACTCCGGGTTACTACTTCATAATAAACCACGGGCCCGTCAGGACTCAGGAGTTTAGCTTGTTTTGTTTTGATTTGATGCATATGAATTACGGAGTATTTTTATGTGCTTTTCAATTATTTTGATTGGTAGATGTTTTATACGAGTATATCAATTGGTGTGTATTATAGAACTTGTACAAGGTAGTCTAGGACTCTAGGTTACTACTTTGAAATATAACTAGCCTTCTGACCCATGTAATGCACGGGTTATTCATTAAAAATTGCATTGAAAGATGAATTAGGATATATCAATAAGCCATTATGGTTATAATGTGTTACCAAAAATATGGTTAAGAAATTTAATTTTTGGATTCGTAATTGAAAATGGGGATTAAATAAAGGTGGAGGGGTTAAAATTAAAGAGAGAAAAGCAAAAGTTGAATTGAAGAGGGGAGATGAAGATGAAATGTATATAGAAGATGAAGCATATAATTTTTAATGAAAAAATTAAAGAAATATAGTGTAATACAAAATTAATTAATAGTGTAAGAAGACATGTGACATTTATGTTAGAGAAAAAGATATTGAAATGTAATAGGATAGAGACATGTGTTTTCCTTGGTTATAGTTTTTAAATACTAAGTATAGATGTTAGTAAAAACACAGTTTTATATGCGGCTAGCCGTACGGCCAGTTACAATTTTTTTTTCTCTCTCTCTTCTCTCTCCTCTCCTCCATTTTCTCTTCCCTGAAGCAGTGAAGCATCGAGCCTATAATTTCTCCCAGTCATCATTTCTTAGTAATCCAACCCAGATCGTCGTCGTCTTCGTTTCTCTATCCTCTTTTTCTTCTTCGATCTAACATTCGTCGTCATCGTGGGTTAGGTCAGGGTTGGGTTTTGGGTGTGGGTTGTTCGTGGGTGGGTTTGGTGGTGGTTCATTTTGGGTAGAAGTGGTTTCGTGGTGGTTTTGTGGGTGGGTAATGATAATTTTGTGGGTGGGTAGAGGTGGTTTCGTGGGTGGGTAGTGATAATTTTGTGGGTTGGTAGAGGTGGTTTCGTGGGTGGGTAGTGGTGGTTTGGTGGTTCTGGGTTCTAGATCTGTTTTGTTGGTAGTGGTAATTTCGTGGCTGCTGCGCATGGTTGCTGGTGGTTAGGGTGGGTTTTGGGCTGGTGGCGTTGGGGCTGGAGCTGGTGATCGTGGGGCACTGGGTACGGGAGTTGGTGGTGGTGTTGTGGAGTTTAAGGCTTTGAGGTGGTGTAGGATTAGGGGTTACTTACTTGGTTAATTAGGGGTTACTAGGTTCAGTTAGGGGTTACTAAGTCCGATTAGGGGTTACTTAGTAAGGGGTTACTAGGTCCGGTCAGGGCTCAGGGGTTACTAGGTCCGGTCAAGGGTTACTTGGTCAAGGGTTACTAGGTCCGGTCAGGGGTTACTTGGTTGGAGGGGTTACTAGGTTAGTGGGGTTACTTGTTTGGAGGTGTTACTAGGTTGGTGGGGTTACTTTGTCATTTGCTGATTTGACACCCTGCCGCACCAAAAATGCGCTGTAGTAAAAAGAGAAGATTTAAAAATAATAATTGTTCGTTACATTAGAATTGTTAATATTACTTCGCTTTATTCATTTTATTCGGGTTATATAATTATTTTGTACATTGGAGACCGAGCAAAATACAAATTTAATGGGAAGATAAAATAAACATACTTCCTCCATTTTTTACTCCGTAATAATTACAACACATACTTTTTCACGGTATTTAAGAAATGTGGGATTCACATGAATATACTTTAAAATGAGGTGAGTGGTTGTTAGGAGTGTAATTTAGTGGACAATGTACTTTAAATAAGGGAAATAATACATCTTTTCTCTAAAATAACTTCCCATTTATAACGTGTTGTAACTATTGTGACATTTCCATTATTTTAGGGAAGTATTGTAAGGGTTTGTTCTCTTCCGTTGAAATTCAGTTCAGTTCAGTTCAGTTCAGTTCAGTTCAGCTCTTAGGGCCTGTTCATATTTTCTTATTTTCAGTTCAGTTCAGTTCAGTTCAGATCCAATCAGTTCAGTTCAGATCAGTTTAGCTCAGTTCAGCTCTAATCAGTTCAGTTCAGTTTTATGCATTTTAATTTTTCAGTTCAGTTCAGTTCAGTTCAGCTCCAATCAGTTCAACTCCAATCAGTTCAGTTCAGCTCAGTTCAGTAAATATGAACAAGCCCTTAATATACGTCTAATGATATTGCTAATGATATAAAGCCAAATTTCATTCTTTTAAGCTCTTATTACAACGACAACAACAACAACAACAACAACAACAACAACGACAACAACAACAACAACAACAACAACAACAACAACAATAATATTAATAATAATATTAACAACAACAACAACAACAACAACAACAACAACAACAATAATAATATTAATAATAATATTAACAACAACAACAACAACAACAATAATAATAATAATAATAATAATAATCAATAAGTAATAAATAATAATAATAATAATAATAATAATAATAATAATAATAATCAATAAATAATAATAATAAAAATAAAAATAATAATTGAAATAATAATACTAATAATAATAATCAATAAATAATAATAATAATCACCAATAAATAATAATAATAATAATAACAACAACAACAACAACAATAATAATAATAATAATCATTAAGTAATAATAATAATAATAATCAATAATTAATAATAATAATAATAATATTAATAATAATAATAATAATAATAATATTATTATTATTATTATTATTATTATTAATAATAATATGTACATTTGTATATACACATATGTATAGTAATAAATAATCAATAAATAATCAAAGATCACTAACCCGTAGTTAAAAATCACTAATTAATAAGTTCAGTTAAGTTCAGCTCAGTTTAGTTCAGTTCAGTTCAGTTCAGCTGAGTTCAGTCAATAGGAACAGACCCTAAGTAGTAAAAAACAGAGGAAGATTATATTTAGAATACTGTCTTTAAAATGATTAATGCAGCTCTGTAAAGCTAAAAAAGAAAATATTAATAATCATTAAGCACTAATTACACTAATTGATTCCTTAAAAAAAACAAAAAAAAAAAAAAAAACAAAAAAGAAAGAAAGAAGAAGAAAGAAAGAAATTGCACCAATTGTCCAATTGATCGTGTGTTAATGTCCAGGATTCCTAAATGTATATACCATTTTGGTCAAGTTAGGTACATTACCATTGTTCTATACTAATGTGGGATACACAACTATTTTAGTATATATGTTTCTCTTATTAGAATTATCATTGTCATCATCGTTGTCTTATTTATCAAACAGGATGTTACGTCGTTGTATAAAAAAAACTAAAATAATAATAAAACAATCCCTCATTAATGTATATATATAATGCATAAAATAGATTGATGCAATAATATATGTCATGAATGCAATAACATACATAATAATCATGCATGCATATGTTTAGATTAGGTAAGAAGAGTCTTACAACATTTGGGATGGCATTTTTGATAGTCTTCATGTCACTAATTTGAAACTTGGCAGTAACCACCTTTCTTGGCCAAAGCTCCACCCCTTCAATTCCACTAATTACAGACTTCTTATCTTTTACCCACAAAGACCTTCCTATAAACTTCAGCACTAAAACCAAGCTAACCCAAATATACATCAAACCTTCCCATAATCCCTTTTTCTTTATGCTCCCTTTCTTCCTAAAACTTTGGTCATTTTTACTTGACATAACTATTGGATGATTTTGAGCATCATGATGAAGTTGCTTACCATCGCTCACACATCGAATTGATGAGTTATTACCCATGGTCCATAGCAATGACATCAATGACATGCCATCAGCTACTGCATGGTGTACTCTCAATATTGAGCACTTATGCTTATGCATGATGTGTAGCTCCCATAATGGCTTGTCCAAGCTCATGGGTGGTGATAAGGCTATGTCTGCCAAGTACGCGTTGATGGCATCATCATCGGACATTGGTGGTTCACCATCATCATCATCGTCGTCATGGATGAAGATGTGGTCATCTAGGTTAACATCGGTTTTTTTCCAATGTTCAGTACCATTGTTATTATCCACAACTAGTAGGCTTAAGAAACGTGGTATTTTGACCATGACGGAGTTGGATAACTCGTCTTTAAGGGTGTTTACGTCGATAGGGTTCTTGAACCCTAAGACGCAATGGATTACATGGTTGTGCTTAGGGTGGATGCTTACCCGGGTTACAGGCGTTGGAGGGTCACCGGAAATATGGCTTCCTTTTTGGTAGTTCATATTGAAGTACGGATAAATTAATAACTATAATTGAAAGTTTTAGAAGTTGAGATAATGTGAAAAATAACTTTGTCTCGATTAGGAGAAGGTACGAAGGTGTAGGGTGGGACACTGGCATTAAAAAAACCCTAATACATTAAGTGGTTAGCTAGTGGTACTTTGCTTAAATAGAGAAGATTCTTTTGTTTTTACTAGGGGTATCTACATTGGGGTATATTCTCTTCGACCCTCCAACCTCTTATTTTTCCTTATTTTGTATTGTATTAATTTAGATATGCATTACAAAATCACACGTAAATGGGTGTAATTAATGAATATATTTCATCAATACTTTCAACTTTTAGTTTTTTTTTTTTTTTAAAAAGAAAACTTTCAACTGCTTATACATAGATTTTAGGGTAATATATAACATTTTCAATATAAATTACTTCCTTCATTTTTTTAATTGCACCATTTATCATTTTACGCTTGTCAATACAATACTTTGGCCCTACTAATATATTTAATTGTACTTTTGTAAAAATTATAAAAAGTTGATATTTAAAAACTAGAAATTGAGATGAAGTTAACTAAATCCTACATGATTATGTTTTTTTCTTTACGGGTAAATCACAATAGTTAGTCAAAGAAAATTTTATAAATAGCGCAATGGTTCAAATTATACACTTACAAAAGAATAGAGAAATATCAACCTACACATTCTACAAGCCACCACATAATTTTACTAATAATGTATTGTTTTTTCCTTAAATCATATCATGCGTTTTATATTAAAGTCGTTTAAATTTTATTCCAAACATGTTCAATGGCTCGTCCTTAATAGAAGTACAAAAGAAATTTTGTTAATTTTAGTTATTGTGTGTATTCATTACTTGTTGATAACAAATTATATATATTCACTTTAATAAATTCAAAATTGCTAAAATACATTATTTTCTTGTTCATAAGTATCAATCTACGTAATGAAAATTGCAAAGATACAACGCACAACTCGACAAAGCTAAAAACGTGCAGCACGAAATAGTGGGGCTATTTTCTACACAAGTCACTCGTTAGTACGTGGGGCTTATCATTAAGTTCAATGTATGCAAAATATAAAATATCTACCAAATCTTTGAATATAAAAAAAAAAAAAAAATAATGTGGTTTTTCAATGTTCACAAATCAGAATTTATTTTGGTTGCATCAATTTTATGTAGGTCCAACCAATTCCCTAAAAAAAAAATGTAGGTCCAACCAATATTTTAAATATTTTAATGTTCACAAATAGCATGCCCCACCAAACAAATTAAAGCAATTTCCTAAAAATTTGGAGAGGGAAATAATTTCTCGTGAATTGTAAATTACTATGTGAAGTTAATTTTTATTGCAACTAAACGATTATAGCACCCTAGATGACAATATATATATATATATATTTTTCATACTACTCGTGATACATTATATTATACTCCCTCCGTTTTTAAATACTTGTTCCATTTTTTATTTCCAACCCCGTTTTAAATAATTGTTCATTTACCATATTTGGAAAGCTTTTAATTTCATATCTACCAACTAGTTTGATGTTCATAATTTATATCTATGAACCATTGGACCATACACATTTATTTAACACACCTGCAAGGTACTTAGGTACTCCCTCCATTTTTAAATAATTGCTACATTTTTCTTTTTCGACCGTTTTTAAATACTTGTTCCATTTCCTTATTTGAAAAGTTTTTACAATATTTAATTAATTTCTCTCACCAAGTGGATCCAACAATATTAATTCCATATTCTCCTTCATTTACTTTTCTCCACTACTTTTAGGTTTTTACAATTTTTTATTTTTCCACTAATCCCACTACCTACATATTTTATTATTTCTTCAATTTCTCCTAAAACTCCGCACATAGAGAAATAGAGCAAGTATTTAAAAACGGAGGGGGTATCAGGTATGGAGTACCATGCATGCACAAGGTACTTCAAATTGTGTACATTTCATGTTATTTTGATATAACTATTTATTAAATTGATTATATGTTATTATTTCGTATGGGCATGTTATTTAAAATATTTTGTATCATTTAACTGCATAAAGTATTTATGTTAATTTGAATATTGTTTTTTGGAACAATATTTTTCATGCGTTTTTTTAATCAACTATTTAAAAACCATGCATGCACAAGGTACTTTAAATTGTGTACATTTCATGTTATTTTGATATAACTATTTATTAAATTGATTATATGTTATTATTCCGTATGGGCATGTTATTTAAAATATTTTGCATCATTTAACTGCATAAAGTATTTATGTTAATTTGAATATTGTTTTTTGGAACAATATTTTTCATGTGTTTTTTTTAATCAACTATTTAAAAACCAAGAAAGAAAAACAAAAACAAATCGAGTTCAAGAAAGAAACAGAAAAGGCAAACAAAAACAAATAAAGCTAAACCGCAAAGGGACTAGTCAATTGAGAGTCTACAATATGACTTAACTCTTACGGAACAACAATGATAATATAATATTCAATTGAGAGTCTAGAATGACTCCGAGATTAGCCACTCAATCCGCCGCTCTATTGTTAATCAATCGTGATATTTTTCATGAAGTTTTAAACAAAATAATACTTGTACAAATTTTCACCTTTCATTATAGGGTTTTCGTTTGGGGTTGACCATGCCTAGTTATCCTTTAGGGTTGACCATACCCTTGTATTCACCCTTCATTCATAAGGTTTTTGTTTACGATCGAGGAAGGTGCACTGGGTGGAGATTCAATAAAGGAGGGAGTTTTAGGGTGTGTTCGGAAAAATATAGCTGTGAAGGTAGCTGTAGTTGTGGAGGTAGCTGTTAACTGTGTAGGTAGTTGTTAGCTGTCAACAAGCTGTTAGTTGTGACGATAAATAATTTAGATATGAGTGTTTGGTAAAGTAGTGATTGACTAGCTGTTACATATAAAAATCAATATTTTATTTTTAAAACTATAGATTAAATTTTCAACAGCTACCTGAAAAGCTACCTCTAATTTCAAAAGCTAATCTTTCTAACTTTTCACAAAAGCTACCTCTAGCACTAAAAGCTACCCTAACCACTACTTTGCCAAACACTCACGTTTTTTGTTAAGTAGTGGTTTGACTTGGTCAAACCACTAAAAGCTATCTAAAAGCTACTCAAAAGCTAACGGCGAACACGCCATTAGTGGTGGAGGAAGAAGGACAAAGACTTGCGCTTTGTTTGGATAGCAAAGAAGGGGAGGGAAAATGAAGGAAGGGAAGGGAAAAGAAAGGGAGGGGGAGGTGAGCTCCATTTTCCCTCCAAATCTCTCCAATTTTGGAGAGATTATTATTAAAGAGAGAGGGAAAATGGATCCCTCCCTCTCCTTCCCCTTCCTTCCCCCAATCTTTTACCCAAACAAGAGATTTTGTCCCCCTTCATTTCTCTTCTCTTCTTTTCCTTCCATTTCTTCCTATCCAAACAAAGTGTTAATTAAGAATTACAACAGTTGTTTTTCGTTTTAAAAAAAAAGTTAATATGTCTTTCAAGGCCACAATAACTGGTTGCATTTTACTATTAATATGTCTTTCTCTGTCTCTTAAAGCATGCAATTCTTTATTTATTAGTTAATGGTTACATTATTAACTGTCGCATACTAGACATTACTAGAGACACATAAGAAACAAACTTGTACTAGACTGTAGTGGAGGAATGAAAAACGAAAGGAGATCAGATCACACATATAAGGAGTAAAAGCAATTAATAATAAGCATTTTTTTCAGCAGCTTAATATGACATCCTCTAGGATCAATCACACACATTTCTTATGAATCGAATCCATAACACCTATCTACTCATCAATAATCTGTTGGTTAATCGTCATTTAATGACTACAAGATAACTGCATTCTTCATTTCAAGCAAACCGTCTTCAAAGCATTTAGCCAGAAATCGCGGATCTGGGACAATCTCTTTTGCTACTAGGATTTGCATATTAGCCATTCCCGCGTAACTCACCATATGCATTGTTATCGCCTACATTTACCAAACCAACATCAAACTAACCATATTGTCCATATACCAACTTAATTTAATTTATATACCATGGGTATAATAATACTGTAATAAATTAAGGAACGGAAGAAGTATCATTTAATCCAAGAATATTTATACATATATAAGGTTTTGACAAATAGAGAACTTACATGAGGTAAGCTAGAGGATGTTGGTCTAATATAGGTGATGGGGTTGTCAGCAAACATCAATTCTTCTTGTGGACCGACCATGTTTGAGATTGTGAACGTCGTATTGCAAAGAATCCTGTGATTAAGTATGCTGGCATACTGAAGTACCAGTGTCAATTACAATGCAATCTAATTGTTTTATCATCATATCGTCACAAGCCTAAATATTTAAGTTGGAACTATTGTTTTGGTGAACCTTACCTTTGGTCCAAGGAGGGACATTGCTAAGTTCCCTATATTGTATGAAAAATGAGCCTCCAATGATTGTTTCTTTCGATCGATCATCACCTTAGCTCTCTTTACATAATTTAGAGGATCTGGATCTTTTGTATGACAATATATAGGCAACAGAATCATTCCAAATTGATTACCCCATCTAGCTCTAGAATTATCTTCCATCAGCTTCGACATTTCCTAGTTAATTATGCAATAAAAAATCATGTGTTAAGCTTCATCGTTACAGTGTTACTTAATTATAAGAAATAAAAGAAATTAAACTTTGTAAATCACCTGTAATCCAGGTTGTTTCCTCAAATTAACCATAGCTATTCCTGTAATCTTAAGCCCTTCCTGCAAAGCTAATAATGCACACAAACAGTCCGATTTTAGTTAATGTCTATGACTTGGGCTGTATGCCTGTATGCCCTGCATTCAGGGACTCAGGGCAACTCCTCCATCACGGCGTCTCTCTCCTGCCCTACTACTGCTTTGTGAGGGAGAATTAATTAGCTTATTAAATTCCTACATTATGAAATACTTGTTGGAGACTATCACCTAAATTTCTCGACAATTGTTTGTAAGTTATATTGTTAAGACCTTGGAATGATAATCAAGGCCTAATTAGGGATGTCAATATTAAGTGGATATCCACTAACCCGCTCCACTCTCAATAAATAAATGGACGAAAACCCGAATTAAATGGATGAAAAGCGGGTGACGGATGAAGCGGATGATGGATTGGATCGGATATGGATGATACTTTTTTCACCCGCTAATCATCCACCCACCCGTTTAACATATATTAATTTTTTAATCTAAGAATTTTAATAATAAAATCTGAAATGTGCAAGAAAATTATATGTATTTTTTTGTTGCAAATTAATTTTTCAAACAATATATTGTTATTGTTTCCTTTTTAATTAATAAAGTTAATAAAACTATTGTACAAATAACCGAAAATTAAAGTTATGTGAGTTTTTTTCAACTTTAATACTCAT